TTGATGTAGTATCCAAACAAGGAGAATGAATCTCTTCAAAACGAGCTGAAAGAGGAACGGTTTCCATCTAGTTCTCTTGACATGGATACGTCAATATTTCTATCGCTATATTTCACGCTATATTTCACGTGGCACATATATGAAATAAAAAAAGTAAATGGGAATTTTATATTCAAACTAATGAATGTTATATACGATGATGGATTAAGAAATTCTAAAGCAATGTGTATTATTATGTTCACTTTGATCTATATGATATTCAATGTGATTTTTAGGGACACATTGGCTTAAGCACATTTACATTAATGGTATGGAGGTTAGGAATGGTAGTTCTATTGAAATAACCGAACTTAAACTGGTGCATTATGGTTCTATGCATAAAGAGCTTTGAAATGATAGGTTATGTAAGAATTCGAAATGACGGGCCCATTACAAAGCTTAGATTTGTCAGATTAGGTGATATTATTGGCATATATGTTAATCTCTAGTTTCAGACTAAATGATTTATTATGAAACATAGCTATCGTAAGAGATACCCTGTATATACACATATATATATATATATATATATATATATATATATATATATATATATATATATATATATATATATAAAAAGATTTCAGTCTGAAGAGATGAATATATAGATATTCACGAAATAAATTATAACCAAAATGAATCTTTAAGTTTTTCTTCTTTTTTTTTTATATTATTATTATTATTATTATTATTATTATTATTATTATTCTATGTCGTTTACACTGAGCGCTCCCTGGATTAATATCCTCCTAAGAATTATCCCGACCATTCACAAATGTTTTTACAGTGAACTCCATAGTGGTCAGGGAATAGTTGGTAGACCCTTGGCTCAAGTAGAAAGATAAACTGAAAAGCAACCTTTCTTGCTTCATCATTCAAGGACTTTGAAGAGGTAGCTATGAAGAGATCAGAGTATCGTTCTAGCTTCCATTCTAGAATAATGCACCATCAAGCTCTAAGCATAAGTCGACTGCGTGGAACATGAAAGCAAAATAAGTTAGCTAACTGTGTTCTTGCGGCTCTTGAACGAAAAATATTCTCATGTACTGTTTGTTGTCTTTTGTGCAATTCTCGAGCCAGTTTCAAAAGTCATGACCGTCATACACATGCAGATAATTAGTTTGTGGTCGTCGGAACCTCATACGTCGAACTTGATAGGAGAGTTCATTACATACACACACACACACAAATATATATATATATATATATATATATATATATATATATATATATAGAGAGAGAGAGAGAGAGAGGGGGGAAAATGTATGAAAAAGTGTAAAAATTGTGTTAGGGTTTTATATTGTTTTTATGATGAGAATAGAAATTATTAGATCATTTTTGTCCAGTGGACATCAAGTTTTAAACTGTTGTTAACGCGCGGTGTAGCTTGATATTTAGGAAAGGTAAGGAATTGTGTTCTTCCATTTCGTGTGTAAATTCTATTGTGTGTTCGATTTTGTTTAGTTTATCTAGTAGGTCAGGAAAATCAGTATTGAGAGTCATAGGTGACAAGAAATCAATAAAGAAAAGCAAGAAAGAAATGCAAGGACGAGAAACAAGGAAGAGAAAAAAGGAAGAGAGTTACACAAGCGCAAAATGTGAGAAATGAAAATATCAGAATAAAACTTAAGGATACACCTGAGCTATTTCAACAGTAAAACAATGAGATCAAGTGGCCAATGTTGTACTACGCTTAAATATATGCGGTTGAGGTACCAAAGTGGAGAGTTCACTAGAACAACTGCCATGAAAATATGTAGTGAAAAGACAAAAGAAAACCACGTGAGGGGGGTGGAAAAGTGACTGCATTTGAGATGCCAGGTCAGCACTGGTTACATTGCAGAGCCTTCCTTTGATTTTGTCGAGCATCTTGAGACATATAGAAGGGTGAGCAGATCAAGCATTTATATTTTTGAACGAAACAATATATTTGTAGTCTGATTCGTAAGAATTACCTGTATATTCATTTAAAATTTTCCCTTCATCTGTTTAATCTCTATAATTAATATTATCCACTGAAATAAGTACATGGACAAGGAACTGTATTATAGTGAAATATATACTCGCATCTGAAATAGATGTCCCATTTTATTTTTAACTTTAAACAGTATGTATTATATCTACCGTACTACAAAGGAAAACCCAGGTTCATTTCCTGCCGGAGAGCACATTATCTTTATTAAGATTTTTCGAATATGCAGGCCGATAGACGTAATACACACTGTTTATACTAAAAATAAAAATGGGACGTCTATTTCGAATATGAGTATCCACTTAATGTTTGAAATAATAAAAATAAACCTCTATATATATAAACCTATATATATATATATATATATATATATATATATATATATATATATATATATATATACAGTCCCTTTGAAAAGTATTGGAACGCCGAGGCAAATTCCTTTGTTTTCCTCGTTCACTGAAGTCATTTGGGTTTAAGATCAGACGATGAATATGAGACAATAGTTCTGAATTTCAGCCTTTATTCGCTGGTATTTACATATAGATGTGTTAAAAAGTTGAAGATATGCCACAATTTCTATCAGAGCAGCCCAGCAAATGTAAAAACAATACATTTTTCTCTTATAAAAAACAGGGAATTCTACTCAAGAAAATGTAATCATTACAATATACCATTTGTAGTAAAAATAACTATTTTATATATTTTACATTGTGCACACTATTTGCCTTTATTATATATATATATATATATATATATATATATATATATATATATATATATATATATATAAAGTATATAATTGGTATACACGGAATGAATTTTAATAACCAACAATTACTATTCTTAAAATAGTGCTCAATACAAAGTAGAGCAGATATAATTATTTTTATAAAAAAATTTATTTTATTTTATTTTATAACATACTTATGTTATAAATTTTTTTATAAAAAATTATATATATATATATATATATATATATATATATAGGCCTCACAATTATACACACGCCCACACGAATATACACACTTACACACATCATACTCACTCACTCCCTAATGAGCCAAATGATAACACACACCCACAGCAATACACACGCTTACACATATCATACTCACTCACTCCCTAAGAACCAAATAACACACACACAAACACTAAACAGAGACACATCCCCTCTCCAGGACTAATAAAACTGTCAAACTGACCACGGGAATTCAGAGAAGCATAGATCTATCCAGCTCTTATCTCAAATAACAACTTAAAAGAGAATGTTTTGTTTTTTTCTGTATATTTTTTATATTTTACAATGAGCCGTGTATCTATATTGTGCCTGTTTTCCTTCATTATATATATATATATATATATATATATATATATATATATATAATATATATATATATATTTCTGTTTCTTTCAATTTCGTATAGTCGAGCAAACGACACTTGATTTGCTGTAATTTTAACTCCTGAAATATCTATACTAAATCTTTGATTCTCTTGTTTTCCTTCCTCTTTTTCTTTCTTTCTTTTTTTTTTCTCGTTCCGCCTGTCAATTTCCTGAATTATTTCATATAATACGAATCGAACACCAGCCGCGAAACATCAAACTTGGTCATTTCAGTTGGCAGGAGGAGAGATATTAATGGCTATGTAGGCGTACATTTTGCTAGCAGCAGGAATAATTTGGTCGTATACCTTCACGGCTTTATGGACGCAGCTTGACGCTGCGTATAGTTCTGCTATCCAGTTCTGGTTGACGTTCCCCTGCTCAAACTAGACTAGATCACTATAACTTTGAGATTATAAATGGATGACACCCGACAATGAGATTCCGGTTGATATCATAACTGATCGATCTTGTTGGGGAATACAAACGCTTTTATTATTTTTCATAAGAGTTGGCTACGTAGGGTAGCCGCATTCAAAATAACAATGTACAATCAAGACTTAATATTATCATGTGCGCATGCGCATATGTAGTGTAACATCAATATTATTTTTCAGATGTGCTTAGTCTGTCACAAGACACTGCCTCAATGACGTATTTAAAGAATAGTCTGGCACAAGATCAAACATTTGAAGCAACTAATGTGTATAGAACACATTAGCGTTATAAATATTAAAAAAGCACACAAACACACACACGCACACAAACACACATATATGTCGTTATGATTACATATTTTAGTTCTATCGCATTTTCAGAATGAGACTGAAAATTCAGGTTGGCAAAGGTAAACCTCCATAGTATATATATATATATATATATATATATATATATATATATATATATATATACACGCACACACACATATACATGCACACACACACATTTATATGCACGAATCGACGTTATATGCATGCTTGTTAGACATACAGATAGGTTCTCAGTTTGGCTTCTATTCATAAATGCGCATATCGCACACAAAGTATTGGGGACCATTTTATTTACAAAGACACTGTCAGGATTGCATCCCCCACCACCACCAACTACAGCAGTTCCTCACAAGCAATAAATATCTATTAGGTAATACGCTAATGAAGTTAGCTACCAGGTCTCTCGAGGCTTTGCTTCTGAATTCTATTCCCCTTGTATACTCTGGAAATAGCGCTTGATTAAATTAAACAGCACACGCACACACACACATCTACCTCTCTCTCTTTCTCTCTCTTTCTCTTTCTCTCTCTCTCTCTATATATATATATATATATATATATATATATATATACTAAACTAGACTAGTCAACCCGTGTCCCGTTGGGCCACTGACAGTTCAGGTTATAAAACAGTGAAGTTGATTTCAATATTAAAATATTGTCTCTTTGAAGAAAATTGAAATAAAAATATTTACTGTATAAACAACTAGTATTTTTAAATCTTATTCACTTTTTTAAAATCACCTCAACGTAAAAATATTGTTTTAATATGCCAAAAAATTATATTCAGATGAAAATATTTTTTAAATAAGGCAAAAATATTTTTTATATATTTAAAATATTGTTTGTTTAAAGAAAGCTGAAATATAAATAAGCACGCACGCAATCAAAGAGAGGTGGAAAGTGAGGGAGGTGGAAAGTGAGAGAGGTGGAAAGAGAGAGAGAGGGGGGAAGAGATAGAGGTGGAAAGAGAGAGAGGTGGAAAGGGAGAGAGGTGGAAAGAGAGAGAGAGGTGGAAAGAGAGATAGAGTGGTGGAAAGAGTGATGGAAAGAGAGCGAGGTGGAAAGAGAGAGGTGGAAAGAGAGAGAGAGGTGGAAAGAGAGAGCAAGTGGTGGAAAGAGAGAGAGGTGGAAAGAGAGAGGTGGAAAGAGAGAGAGAGAGTGGTGGAAAGAGTGGTGGGAAGAGAGCGAGGTGGAAAGAGAGAGGTGGAAAGAGAGAGATGAAAAGGGAGTGGTGGAAAGACAGAGTTGGGTGGAAAGTGAGAGAGAGGTGGAAAGAGAGAGAGAGGTTGAAAGAGAGAGGTGAAAAGGGAGAGGTCGAAAGAGAGGTGGAAAGAGGAAGCGAGGTGGAAAGAGAGAGTGAGAGTGGTCGAAAGAGAGAGAGAGTGGTGGAAAGAGAGAGAGAGAGAGAGAGAGAGAGAGAGAGAGAGAGAGAGGTGAAAAACAGACATATATGTAGGCATTTATTTCCACAATCCGGATTTTAAATTAGGTCACTATCTGAGACGAAAACACACTATTTCCTTCTCTCACCCTTCATACACGATAATAAATTTATATCTTTCTTTCCACCACTTCCTATAGATGACTTCTGGCAAACACACAAGCAACGTTCACAGAATTTTATTATATACACACGCACACATACATACATACACACACACACACACACATATATATATATATATATAGATAGATAGATAGATAGATAGATAGATAGATAGATAGATAGATAGATATGCATACAACCTCTCACAGATAGCACCGCTCGGAGTTTCATGCAGATCAGAATCATCAGGTTCTGAGTATAGACTGACCGTTACGTAATTAAAATTTAATAAAATATCTGGTAGGCGCAGTTCTATATTATACTGGGATTACAGTTTTTTAACTAAAAAATATATTTGTCATATAAAATAAACGGGATTTGATTTATGTCAAAAATAATTAGGTGAATTATTTTGCTATCGGTGAGGGATAGTATGTATATTTATTAATATATACTTAGTACCTCTGTTGCATCACATCGAGCACTGTTTTATTAACACCAGCATTATATATGCGATATATATATATATATATATATATATATATATATATATGTGTGTGTGTGTGTGTGTGTGTGTGTGTGTGTGTGTTGTGTTGATTGAAAAGTAACTCACTATTTTATGTATGCGTGACCAGCCAGGAGTCTGACTTAATTTGAATTTATTTTTGTTAATATTAGAATAAAAATGAACATAATACGTCCTCAAATGACTCTAAATATATCAAGCTACTATACCGTAATCCAATTCACTCTAATTATAAGTAAGAAATTTTTTTAAAGAGAATTAATATATTACCCAATAATCGAAGTAAAAATAAAAGTAATTATATACTTTATTAAATTTAATACAACTAACCTAGTCCTCCATAACAACTCTTCTCCGTCAACTATCGTCTTACAAAAGAGCGACATCATATATCAATTTAAATGTCCTTTGGGGGATTGAATAATGCGTATGTTGATTTTACAACAACGTCGATGACGAGAACGTTTACGTTTTACTTGAACGATCAGAATATTTAAAGGAACACTAATGTCCACATTCTCAGTTTAGACTGATATTAGTCGAAAATACATCAGTGCTTCATCAAGATAATAATGAGCAAAAACTTAAAATTCTGGAAGCTCTTTATATAAGAGAATTGCAGCCCAAAATAAATAAATTCAACTACGGGTACAGCAAGAAATTGTTTAAATGTTTGAAGCAGCAAAGTATTATAATAATACTTCAATTAAAATGTTTTTGTTTTTTTTTTCTAATTTACGGGGTTAACGCGTAACAGATCCATAGATATGCAACCCCTGAAGATGTTCTTAGAATAGATTCAAAGTATATGGGGAAATAAAATTTATTTGAAAGAAAATTTTGGAATTTTACTTAATAAATTACCTACAGCCACCAAGAAATTAATTCGAGCATTTAGAGTTGGAACTATTGGAGTCACGTCATCAAAGTTTCAGCTTCATCGCACCATTTTTCTTACTGCTGTAACAGTGTAAACATGGCCGCCCCATTAGCTGTGAGGGACAAAGAGCAGTGATTCGATTTCTTTGGTCAGAAGGTGTTTCAATACGATAACAGTACACAACAGTACCCCACTGATGAAAACATTCAGCAAACTCGAGATATGGTAATGGTAAACTGGCAGTTATCATCGATGAGGTAGTATATTCACTGCAGATTCGGATCTCGCTCCTTATGGTGCACACTGATAGCGGAGTGGACATGTTTATACTGTAACCACAGCAAGGAAACTGGTACAATCAAGCTCAAATTTCTATCTCGGGACCACTATAGTGACAACTATAATATTGCGTGAGAATAAGGCAGTGTGACAAACCTAAAGATATGTTATGGCGAAATTGTAGATATTTTTTACTTACACTTGTATATTTTGCTATTTCTTAATATTTTAAGTCTAATAATATCAGCCCTTTATGTTTCCGCAATGCGTTTGTAGTATGAACAGCAGCAAAAACCGGTTAATTAACTGTTGTGTCGTGGAGGTAAATGAAGAATGAGTGCTTAATATATTTATTCAACAACAGTATCCGGTGCTAACAGATACATACAAAAAACACAGAACAATAAGTTCAGTCAGTTATGTGCCATGCGTGATATACGCTTTGGAGGTCATGTATCTTTAGATACATGACTGACGAGGCAGATTTTTTTTTCCCGAAGTAGGTTACCATTTCTTTCTGCGGGAGACCATTTGCCATCCAAGGCTATAGAACTCGGTCTGTACTGCTATTTAACCATAGCTGGGCGGGGAGAAGAAGATTTACACCTTTTCCAAGAGTATTAGCACATAAGTGAAAGTAATGGATTCAACTGGAATTCGACCTCGGCTCACCGATTCCTCAATCCGAGCCACTATCCATTACTCCACCGTATAGCCCAGTCGATAGAGCATCAGACATTTAGCGGATACTGAACACTGAACAATAAGTTACAAAACAATTAACAAGACAACTTACAAGGAATAGAAGATGGTCAAATGCTGTATAGCCAAACGAAGTAAAATAAGTTCGAATATTAATCAGCTTCGTATCAATTTATTAATCAACTGCTGAAGTCCTTAATCGTAGACTAAGGCTATGAGCCAGGCCATCTGGTAGAGTGCTGAGGGGTGCTAGCTACTCTACAACATTACCATATACAGTTACCAGCATCAGCAATGAGAGTTACAGTCTCAATTGCAACGCATGCATGTTGAAGACGCTATCCCCCGATATCGAAGTGTTGTTTTATTTCCTTCGAACACCCTTTTCCCCGGTGGCAAGCCTTCGCTTCTCTCCTCACTTGAGCCCGCGGTATAAATCACATCTCCATCGTGAGTGATCATTGGCAACGTCTTCCCACTTCACAATGTTCATATCCATCGCCATCATATCCCTTTTGCAGACTCCTTGAAACGAAGATGAGGCTGCCCTCATGCTCTTTGGCCGGTGGCCAGTTCCCCATACAGGAGGATGACTGCCAAAACCCTCCCCTCAGTAGATTGTTTCTTCCCTTGTTTTCCTATCGCAGTGAGACCCCGCCGGAGTGTCCTTTTAGAGCGCAGCCCTGTGCAAGGTTTTATGGAGGTCGGCAGTTGCCCATGCTCCTCTCTCCGCAACACCGATATTATTCAAGCGAAAGGTAGAGTATAATATATCTTGACACCGGCAACGTCACAGGAGTTGCCAGAACCTTGTTGAATAAAACATCGGCTCTGGATTTGTCTCCCAAAGCCTTTCCCATGATTTGGTATTGAAGCAAGGCAGCGGAGGTTTCTATAAATGGATTACGCATCCTGGCATCTACCCGAATGTTACATGTGCTGCCTATTTTTTGTTATTATTATTGTCTGGATTCGTTTGGCTGATTTTGTTGAGCAACATATCAACCTCTACAGGTCATTTAATGCCGAAATCTAAATATTTTTGTACAAAATTTTATGGCTTTAGCTACATATACTTTGAACGCAATTTTATATCCTCAACTACAGATATTTTTCAGTGGAAATCTATTATTGGTAATTTTACTATAAAATGTATTTTTATACTTTTTTAGTGCTGCATTGTTAATCACTTTACTATGGGAATCAATTCTTTGTAATTATTTTTTATAAAAATGTATTTCTAGTAATTTTACTATGACCATGTATTTTTACATTTTCCTAGTGTTTTGATTTTAGTTTGGGCTGTTCACTATTTGCTCATAACTTGAACCATGACAGGTTCTAGCCACCCCGGGTCAGGGTGAACCCGGGAACAACAACAAGTAAGCCTTAGTTCCACGTTCCTCAACCCCCCTCTCCCTATCAGAGACCTTGCTGCCAGATGTAGTTTATCGTCATACCCAGTAGTATGTTGATTGAAATGTTAAATTCATGTGGTTTTTGTTATTTGGTAAAGTCTTTTGGTCATGATTTCGTATAGGCAATTTGATGAATAGCCAATTTGATTTGAACGATATTCGTTTGAAGCCGTTTTTGTAATTCATGGATTAATCTTCCTACGCAATTTTAAAAGGTATAAATAAAATAACTGACAATCTTTTCACAAACGTTTTCAACGGTCGATAATAGCATCGATCATTTATCCGAATGCAAAAAAAATAACTGTACCTTATTTTTTTACGATGCATTTGTCATATGAGTGTCAGTAAAAACGATTCTTCAACAAATACATGGTGCGATGGCTAAATTCTCTTCACGGCAATTTTTAAGATAGATATAAAACAAAAATATTCACATACATTTCGCTACAAAATACAAAGAATTATTAATATGTGCACATTCCTACAGAAACAGAAACTTTATTTATACAGAGAGAGAGAGAGAGAGAGAGGAGGGTACGATGGATAAACTGTCGTCTAAATGGCGCCAAAATGAAAATAACACTGACATCTCATTTTAACAGATATATTTAGCAAAATTACACAAAAATATCTTGAAATACTAAACAGGAAAGTTATTGAATAAAATCGTCATTGGCTTCAACCATGGCCTCCAGATGATTTCAAAATCTCCTGCAACTCTTCTGGACGGTCTCCTTGTTTAAATTGGTGAATGTTGCCATAGTCATTGATTTCAGTTCATTCTTGGTGTTACAAGGAGTTTTGTTGGTCTCACGTTCAATTGTGCTCCTCACAATAATCAAGGCAGTTACAGTCTGGGGAATTAAGTCGTCAGATGTAAGGGATAATTTCGTCTCAGAAATTGTTTGACAGCTATGACTGGGTTCTTCTACTTGTGTGTCATGGTGCAGAGTCCTGTTGCCAGACATAGGGTCTTCTAGCAGTTATCCTCTTAATCAAGGGCACTTGATGTAAAATCCGAGGCCCTCACCAACAAATTTGGGAGTATTTTTATCAGAAGTGTGTTTTCCGAGCTGCCGTACTGTAATCTCCATTAGACTCATCCA